CAAATTTGACTTAAGGACAGACCTTGGGAATGGAACTCATTCTTAAACTGGGGACTACCTGAATTAGAACTCCTATACCTAGATTTTTAGAAGTCTGGGATACACTGATCTGGTTCAGTTCTGTAAAGCAGTGTGTGGTTTGTTTAGTTTTGGCTTAGTATGTTGTGTAAATGCACATATTCCCATGTTAATGAACTACATTTTGCCCAGTGATAGCTTCATGTTACTTAATACATTCTGTGTTCTTCAGAGGATGGGAAATCTACACATAACAATCAGGTAGTTTAGAATGGTATTTAATGAGAAAGCGTTGTGGGAAGCATGAAGTGGCATGCAGGGGGCTCTAAAAACAAGAAGTGCTGCAGCTGGTACAGATGCTGACACTTAAGACTTCTGAAGATGGGAGTCAGGTGATTTATCATAAAAGGATGCTGAAGGAATCAGTGAACATACCAGGGCTATAGTAAAGGGTTGGAGGAATGTTACACAAATTAGATGCACTTAGAATTATAAACAGATGTAAAATATTATTTGGATAGTACATTTGGTGGCTTGAGATGACGCAGAACAGATGAAAGTTGTGCCTCAGATCAGCTTCTGTGAAAAAGGGAAAGCAATTTGGAAGATGATAATGAAAGTCTGTTGATTAAAATTGTGCATGACTTGAAATTCATTAGAAAAATGTGAATCATATGTTCAGGCTGCTGACAGATTTGTTCTAATTTTAAATTACTGAAGCAGTATTTCGGGTATAAATATCCTTGAGGGTTTGTTCTGAATTTTCATGTGATACACTTTATTGCCCTTCTTGTACCTTTTGCTGGTAATATATTTTTAAAGTGTCTTTCAAGCCATGTTTTCAGCTGAGTAAATGGGACATTTGTTTTTTTCTGACAACTAAAAGCAAATGCCCCAAAGTTTGGTGCATGGCCTTTCTTTTTTCTTTTTGCCTGCCTTAACTGAGTCTACTACAATACTATTTTAAACAAATTTCCCCTTTGCTAATTTATGTACAATTGAGATTAATTTCTTTTGCAATGTAATATTTCTTGAAAGAAAGAAGGAACTCCCTCCCCCCTTTCCTTACTAGTTCTACTCTAGAAGAAACCTTTGTGATAGAATTTTTGGAATGTTTCCAGTTAAAATTTCTCCACTGCTTTCCTGTTACCAGAATTTCCCTTTGAGAAGAGTTCCCTGTAAAAAAGATGCTCCTTCAGGATCTTTCTTTGCCAGAGATAATACAGCGAACTTTCTGAATTGGTGTAGGTGCATTGGAGTGGATGAGACTTACCTCTTTGAATCCGAAGGCTTAGGTAATTTTTATTGATGATCTTATAGATGTTTTTTGCATTGTTTTATTGAATTATATTGCCACTAATTTCTGATATCAGTTGTTACTCACTTCTAAATTTAAAAGATGAGAGGTGTTTGTATAAATCAGTTCCTTCTAATCTATTGAGAAATACCTTGATATGTTTAATGAACACAGTTAAAATGTGTAGAAATGCAAAAATACTAAACAGGGCAAAATACCTATTCCTTAGAATGAAATATTAAAACAATCTTGATTTTGCTTTTGGGGACTTTCTGATAACAGAAGTTACAATAAGAGTTCTAAAATTTAGTTTGACAAGTTTAACAACTCTGTTGCCACACTTTTTCAATAGAGTTTGAAGCTTTTTTCCTAAAAATGTTGGGATTGTCTGATTTCTGCAACATGAATTTGCATCAGCCTATTCTGATGCCTTGAGAAGATGTTGATGTGATAATTGGCTTTATTCATGCTCTTCTGTGTGTTCATTGACAGCTCACCAGCTCCTTGGTAACTTTAAAATGCTGAATTGAGCCTGCAGGTGATGCATCACAATATTGAAAATTCTTGAAATACGATAACTACTCTAGCATTTTCATTATATTAATTATATTGTCAAAATGGTTGTGTGTAATTCAGCTACAATACTAAATTACGCTTAGAAAGTATTCTGCTCTTGATAAATTTGGTTATGCTTTGTTGAGAGTTTACAAAGAAGATGATTTCTTCATAACTTGAGACTGGCTGAAAGTGTTTTCTTATATAGCTTTTAGAAGTAAACTATTCTGAAAATTAATGCATAATAATAATAAAATCAACTTAAAACCCCATAATCCTAGATACCACTTAATTTACTACAGAAATACCTTTCTCTTGTTCTAATTCCAAGCTGTCCAATTACTGTTTTTAGTGCCTCCCATGCTGATCTCTTGGGTCATGCCCTATAAGACATGGAACAAGCCACAACCTTCAGGCCTTGGGGGTGTGCTGCTGTGAGGAATCTAGGCACATTAATAAATGTGTGGTAGTCAAGAAGGGGTAGATAGCCTAATAAAAAAAATCCACTTCTGCTTTGAAGCTTTTCTATTTTTCAAGAGTTGGGTGCAGTGAACTTACTGAAATTTTCTTCAGAATAATAGTAAATACTCTGATTATGAATCTCTGAATAAAGGATTTATAATATGTACTTGGCTGATAAATTAGGCCGTTGAAAGAAGGACTCGCTGTTAACAATTTGTTAAATGCCTGCCTCTTGTTGTTTCAGGCTGGACCTTGTAACTAGCAGCTGCCAAATCAAATTTTTCCAGATGGAGCAAAATCTTGTAGTGCTCATTAAGAAAAATAGCTTGAAGTTGTATTGCTAATTAAGTTTTTAGCATTGTCTCTTTTAAAGGTAGATACACATCTACTTTTAGGCTATAAGCCCTAGGCCTGTATAAAATTACTGCTTAAATTGTTTGGTATTGCTTATACTTTTTGAAGCAATTCTTTATGTATTTGCTTTGCATGGTGTGGGTGTGTTTAAATTTAAAAACTATTATTATTCAGGATGGTTTGTAAAAGATGCAGCAAAGTTCAGTTTGCAGTTTTGCAATGTAATTGACAGCGGCCAGGGCTTATACCACACTGTGTCATCTAAGAATGGTAGGATTCATATAGTTCCTACAGAACATATTTTAATCTACATTCAGTTAAATTTTTCTATAGATGGAACACGCAAAATTTAGGTTTGCCAAGCCTGTATAATATTGCAGCTTTAAAGACATAATTCAGAGTACTTTGAAAGTTACTGATTATAGTGGCTGGTTTTGTGGCATGAATGTATGCTTTGTACGTTTTTGGCAAAGAGCCTCATCCAAAGGTCTGCAAGGATCCCTTTGTAAGCCTTTTGAGGTGAAATAAAGAGTGGGTTTGTGCCTCAAAACAATTTTAATGTGGGGGCATAGGGTCTGACCCTCAAAAGGGTTTCACTGCATTTATCGTTACAAGTACCATTGAATCTTCATACTTCTAAAAAGCAGGCTAAACTCACTTTGCAGTAGTAAACCTGCCATAAGCTACTTGTACAAAATATTGAGCTGGGTGAGATGTGCCTCATGTATGACCTGCCTCACTGGGGCTGGACCAATTAATGTCCAAACTCTCTCAGGACTGGAAACAAATCTTGCACTGGTAGATTTCCAAACCAGTTTTAGCTAGAGAAAGGTCTGGGTGTCAAGTAGGAGTACACAAAGGAGTACTTTGTGTACTCCTACATGGAACAGAACTTGCTACTACAGAGTTCCATGTTTACATACAGTCAGGTCCAGAAATATTGGGACATCGACACAATTCTAACATCTTTGGCTCTATACACCA